TTAGTTTATTTTGAAAATGTGATATGGTTAGATGTAGTGGAAATTTAAGTTTAAATTAAAATAATATTTAAAATAAAATAAAAGCTGATTCGACGTAAATAGGAGAAAAATGAGTAGAAATTATGACACAAAATACCTATTTGAGAAGGGATGACTTATTGATTATATAGGTAAGTTACATGAACTGGTCCAAGACCAATACATTAATCTCGTCCAACCAATTATGGGAATAACTGCCAAATAAGATGAAACTTGACTACTGAGAAGTCCGAATTTAGATAACTTCCCTTCTTGAAGTGAATTAAAGTTGATGTAATGTGTAAGAATGATTGGTTGATATTATTTAATTATATTGGTAATATTGATGATAGTGAGTTTAGTTAAATTTTAATTTTAATTTATTTTTTACTAGTCAAGTTTATATCTAGTAACACCCTTAATCATCCAAAGAGATCACAAACTTAACAACATATGGAGGATAGAATAATCATTTTATATTAAAAATTGTCAATTATATCTTTAGCACCTATGGTTGTACGTGGACAATAGCAACTCTACACCTTCAGTTGCACTTGTACAATAACAACTCTAGTTATCACTGCACACTGTAAATATTTCATGTATACACACTTTTCTCTTTTTATTTTTTAATAGCAACTCTCTACACCTTTAGTTGTACTTGTACAATAACAACTCTAGTTATCACTGCACACTATAAATATTTCATTGTATACACATTTTTCTATTTTTTGTTCAATCGATTCATCTCTTTCTTTCTGCTTTCCCTCTCATTACTGCAACCTTTCATCTCCATCCCTGATATTAACAAAACTCAAACAATGCAGAAAAATACCAAATGCAAGAGACTCCCAGCTTCTCAACTAACCTACTCCTAATAATGAAAAAGGTTCCCATGTAATGTATTCAATTACAGTACTTACAGAAAGCTTAGTCACCAGAAAATGAAATCACACAACATGAAAATAATAAAAAAAAACACAAAACACTTCAGCTAACCCAAAATGCTAAGTACAAGTTTATAATTCACTTATGCAAACTTAGAGGTACTACTCTGCGCCACGTGCTTCTGGAGTTTGGGCCTCTCATCCACCTTTGACAGCGCCAGCTTCTCGAGCCGAACCTGAGTCTCTACAACCTCCAAATTCGGTTTCTTTTTCAGTTTTTTACTCGGCAAAGAATTTGATGCCACTGCATCCACAGGATTAGGATTGCCACTGGAACTTCCTTTCGCCTTCTCTTGATTCCGTTTGTCGGCTTTTGGGCCGTGTGCTAAGGCAACTGGTTTACGAGCGCTGAAGGTTGGCTTCTTGGTCAAAGGAGAAAGGGAATCTGAGAGTGTTTTTTCGCGATTATGTGAGGATTGAGAAGCATTAGTGGCGTCCTTTCGTTTTGGAGGCAAGACTTTCTGGTTCTTGATTTTCTCTCGATCCTAAGATGAAACATGACAAATTAAGTCAAATGGAAACTAAACAAACCAGCAACCACATTTTTTTTTCAGTGTAACTTTTAAATTGTGAAAAAAAAGCAAGATATTCCTTCTTTTTTTGTCATGTATGGAGATGAAAGACTACAGCCGTCATTCTCATACGCACTTATATATCAATATAAAAGGTTTGTGATCTCCTTATTCCTTCACCCAATGGGGAATATATAAAGCCTTCGAAGTCATATTCTGCAAACAAAAAAATACATAGGAAAAAATTAATCAACTAAAATTATCGACACCTTTGCCGGGATGCACAGACCTCTCCTTTCTTTCACTCGGTATATAGCACGTTTGATTCCATCAGTATCCATAAATCCACTAGGCCACAATACCACAAGCTGCATTAGAAAGACAGAGAGATGAATAGGGTGGAGAATTCAAAGAATGTTTTTCTAGTTCGAGTAGTTTATTATCCTAAAGCCAGTAAAAGTACTAGAAAACACATCCGCAATTCTCATATAACACTTCACGTATTCAAACAAAGAAACAAACTAGTCAAAAGGAACGTGTGCAGTAAAATATATAGATGCAGATCTATAATTTCCGGACCACATTAATTACTGTAAATTGTATCATCTCTTCATCTTTTATTTACTTCAAAGATCTTCGACATAAAATCAGTTTATTTCCGACAATAAACCCACTCGAACGAAAAATTACTTGAGCCACATTCCAACTACCTCTTGATACAGCCTTCTGATGGGTGGACCTGAATCCTCATCTATTCTCTGGAATAAAATGCAAGCAAGCAAATTGGTACATCAATAAAAATCGTAACATTTATTTTGTTCTTTTTTCCTTTTTGGTCCTTTTCCTGTTCTCCCCCCTTTTTTCTGGCCAGGGGGAGGACTGAAGTTGGATGTTAGAAGCTTCCAGATGAACCACGAAAGCTTAATAAGTAATAAATACCTCAACATAAAGGTCATATAAATCACAAATCTTATTTCCCAGTGCATCATCGATGTTGTATTTGCGTTTCAGGACTTCTTTCACTTCTGGACCAGCTTCCTGAAAATCATCAGAATTTGCAGCTAGCTGCTCAGCCTGCAAATTATGTAAGAAATCAGCTATTAAATATAACTAAATAACCCCAATCATTCAGTAAAATGGAAAATGGACTTTATTATTTATTTACTTATTTGGTCATTTTTTTAGGGGGGTGGGGTGGGGTGATGGCGGCAGCAGAAATGTCGAGGTTTTGAGACAACAAGTCATTTAAGGGTAGAAAAAAAAAATCTTCGATAGTATGTATAAGGTAGATCAACATTTTGACCGACTGTATCGTATCGACTTTAAACTAAACAGAACTCCATACTTTTGATTTCATATATGGAATCTGCTGCTTAACCATCTCAGCAACCTCTTGTTTTATCTTCTCTATTCGGTCAGCCTTCTCTTGTTTAGCAGATAATCCGGCATTAGCCATGATTCTAAGGTTTCTCTGACAAAAAAGGAAAAATATGCTTGCGAAGTCAGTAATTGTCGCATTTATTTGCATAAAGGCAAAAACGTCGACTCATCTCGCGCAGAAAATATAAGTAGATGGATAACAAAATAATAAACAATAACTATGAATATAGAAGAAGTGAAAATGCAATAAAAAGGTTTGACCAATGAATATAAAGAATCATGGAAAATCACGCTCATGGACTTACTAACTTTTGGAATTAGATAATTTAACTTTCTCTAATTTTGCTTGCAAAAAAAGCTTTTATTTTTGTTTTGCAGCTAAATGTCTAGCTTTCAATATTTTTTACGTCGGATACTTTTCAAAATTAAGCAAAAGCTACTTTTGAGAGAATAGTGAAAATTAGATCATCGGATTGCAAACGTTTAAAGTTTGAGCAAGAGATAGTATCTCAAATTTCACCAAAATGCAAGTTTGAATCAGCAAAAACAAGACATGGCGATTTTCTTAAATCTGCTAGCAAAAGTCGAGAGAAAATACACATTGAACCAACACAAGAATAAGAAAGAAGCTACTCGTAAGTCGTACCTTTAGCTTGAAAAATGGTACGCGTGCATCATTATACTTAAAGTTCGGGAATCTCCATAGGGGAAGTCCAGTGCCGTAATAGGGATTCCACAGTCACCCGACGTGTGGCACTCAACATAGAAATGAAAAATCGACAGCCATCAATTTTATATTCCTCGAGCGGATTCCTATGCCCAAAGCTTCGTACATTCACCTACAAACATCACACAGTGGCAAAAAAGGAAAAATATGCTTGGGAAGTCAGTAATTGTCGCATTTATTTGCATAAAGGCAAAAACGTCGACTCATCTCGCGCAGAAAATATAAGTAGATGGATAACAAAATAATAAACAATAACTATGAGAAGAAGTGAAAATGCAATAAAAAGGTTTGACCATCACGCTCATGGACTTACTTAGATGAGATAGCGTCATAAATGACATCTAATAGGATTAGAGCAAACATAAATTGCGACTAGCGCAAATATCAGGATTGATAATAATGTAAGTGTACATCACAAAGAGGTAAACAAACGAGACTGTCATGTAGTTACATTTGGAAACTGTATTAAGTTTTACGGCACTCATCCTATAGAAAATACGAGTTTCTACCCACTTATTCATTTTTTATGAATATGATGTGAGAGTGAAAGAATCCTACTCATGATTGTGATAATAACTCACTTTAGGTAATCTACACAGGAGAACATCTCATTTATGTAAACAACATATTATAAACATTATGTATATTCTAATAAGTTAATCCACTCATTTCATCAAGTATTCAGCCAATCTTGATGTTAAGGGGTTCCAACATGGCGATATTCACAATTTTTAGAGAAATTTTACATTCATCACTTTACCATCCAAACTCTTCAAGTTTTGCACATGGATATCTACAAAGCCTCAATTGCGAAATATTGTGCCGTGCTGTTACATGCACGGTTTCCTTCTTATTTGTGCACTTTTCGGTCAAATTCAGATTGTTTTTTCATGTTTGCAAAGGTCATTAAACTTTTCTGCATTAGGCTAAAATGTGAATCAGGAGCATAAAACAACCTGATATTGTCTAGGAAAATTGCACAAATCAAGAGGCATGTCATGCATATGTATAATTCAAGGGGAAAAATCAAATGGGGTGCTCCACAAGGTAAAGTGCAAAACCCAGGTAACTGAGATGGAAAAATTTATTGAAAACGTAAGGAAATTTAGGGTGAATGAATATGTACTAACTCAATAATCAATGTAAAAAGACCAATAAAAGGCTTTAATTTAGATTTGTTAAGATTTATGCGAATTAATCCTTACTAACTCAATTATCAACAAAGTTTTACGTGAGATTGAAAGCCTTTCGTTATGTTGAGTAGGCAAAGAAGGAGAAAAGAAACATCCGGGTTATTAGAAGTTTGGAACTCTCCTATTTGAATATACAAACATAAGCAGATATTATGGTGGTGATAATATCCTATTAGAAGTTTTGAACTCTCCTATTAGAAGTTTGTTTCGATGAATTTCATGGCAACATTAGTTTGTTTAAGGATTACACACAGAGTTCATATTATGGTTATTGATGTTCCAAGACTGGAATGCAATAGAAAGGTAAACCACAATGTATCAGATAAATTATTTAAAACAAACATCTAATACTAAGCTAAGCTTCATTCGGGAACTATGTTGTTAACATTTGGATTTCACTTAGCCACGATATAGCGGTTCTCTGGCAAACAGCTCTGTAATGTCATCACAAAAACAATGTCAATTAAAGCAAATATCTATTCTCTTTATTCTTTCGCAGCATGACTAAAAATGGCATGATAAGACCAAACCTTTTCAGCAATTAATATTCTATATCATCAGAAGTTGTAGTGAACAGTTAGAAACAGAATATAGAGCTGATAAGGATCTGGGCACAGATAATAGCTCCAAGTTTCTAACAGGTCACATCACAAACGAATTTCCACATACTAGGCAGGGGCAGATGTAGACTTGCAAAGTTAAGGGGGCACAATGTAACTTTTACGAAATGCCAATAAAATAAAATAATATTATTTTAAAATCGTTCTCTATATATTTTTATATTTTGCATCATTTAATAATTACATTATTTTCAATATTGTCAAATTAATCATTCTCAAGCATCAAAATTATTATTATTTTTATGTTATATCTTTTAACGTCTACATGTGGGCTTCGGTTTATAATGTTTCTTCACAATGAATACATAAAAGTCATATTAATTAGTAATCAATAAGTACAATTTGATTGCTTGTTTAAAATGTTATGATTAAAAATTGAAAACACCTAAATAAAGTATGCATCAAATTTAAAACAAAGCGTTTAGATACCTTAATTAGGATCATGACTTTTTATCAAAATTATGAAAGCTTGGTATCACATCAATTCTTAAAATCCCTTAATATAAATAAAGGTTTACAAGAACTAATATATAAATTATAAAGTTGATAGGTGCAAAAATGGATAAATAGAAATCATAGTCGGGTTCAAGATGGGATTAAGGAATAATTAATATTTAGGTTTTTTCAAGACATGATTGTGAATGGATTATTTTTTAGAATTTTTTTTACTGGGAGTAGTTATTTTTAAAAAAAATAAAACTCTATTATAATTTTTGGAATTTAGAGAAAAATAAATGGACTACTAAAATCAACATTTCTAATAAATAACATAGGCACAAATTTGTATAGAAGAAATACTATTTTTTTTCTAACGTCTACATAATATAAGTACTTATTAGTTTTAATTGTATAGGGGCACGTGCCCCTGCGGGTCCCTATTTGCATCCGCCCCTATTTGCATCTGCCACTGATACTAGGTGATGAACTGATGCAGCAAGATAGGTGATGGAAGTAGAGTTACAGAGAACTCATGAAGAACACGCAAATTCTTTCTGAACAAAGTTAATGAAATCTGATAACTGCCTTCTCAGGCTCACAACCGTTGTCTTAAATATTACATTAAATCCTAATAACTATTAATTAAGCCAAAACACAATAAGTCCACTACTACATAATAAAAGCCCAAACATAATATAAATAAACACACCTAAATAATAATAAAAATATAATAATATCACACTAAAGGACGGAGCCGATCATATGTATCGAGAAATACTAGCGCACCCTCGTCAGCATCATTCTTCCCCAGTTGGAGAGGATTCGCCCTCGAATCCGTACCACTCTCGTCGGTAGAATTGTCTCCATGAAAAGGCACTAAATGCTTGACATTAAAGACATCTGACGTACGCACATGAGACGGTAAACGGAGACGGTAAGCGTTCAGATTAATCTTCTCAATAATCTCAACAGGACCAATCTTCTGAGCCGATAATTTGTTGTACTCCTGTGCTGGAAAACGATCCTTCGTCAGAACTGCCCACACGAAATCACCCACATCACGTGTCGGCGCCGAATGTCGGCTCGCTGCTTACAGGTAGCAGTAGTGGCCTCCAAATTAGCACGCACATCAGCATGCGTACGTCGCAAATCAGACATCACATCCGTCGCGCGTCGATCATCAAGACCAGAAGAAGGGAGAGAATCAAATCAGCTGGCCCACGGGGAACAAAACCATATACCACCTGAAACGGACAATAACGAGTAGCGCGACTAATGGCAGAGTTATGTGCAAACTTAGCCTGACTAAGGCGAATTAACGCAAATTATCACCAACCAGACAACGAAGCAAATTACCCAAAGAACGATTAACAACCTCAGTCTGACCATCAGTTTGTGGATGGTAAGCACTACTAAAATCAAGTCTGGTGTTCGCCTGTCGCCACAAACTACGCCAAAAGAAACTAAGAAAGCGTGTATCACGATCAGATACAATAGAGGTCGGTAATTCATACAAACGATATATCTCTCGAAAAAACAGTTGTGCCACACGCACAGCATCAGTCGTACGTTTTCAAGAAATAAAATGAGCCATCTTAGAAAAGCAATCGACAACAACAAAAATAGAATCGTTACCTCGCTGAGCACGGGGTAAGCCAAGAACAAAATCCATGCTAATGGAGGTCCAGGACTGTAAAGGAATCGGCAGAGGCCGATATAAACCAGCATTAGTAGCAACACCCTTCGACACCTGACACACCCGACAGCGCTCTACAAAACGAGAGAAACATCCCGTCGAACAGTAGGCCAAAAGAAGCGTCGCTGGACCAGCTCAACAGAACGATCCCGTCCCACATGTCCGGCTCCATGAAGGTCCTCAATCAACTTCAACCGAAGACTACAATCAGAAACACAAAGTCGAATTTCCTTACAAAGAAAACCCTCGCGAAGTACAAAATCATCAACCGGACCGGAAGCCAAACGAACGAAAAGAGGGCCAAAGAAAACATCGGAAGCATACAAGTCACGTAATAAATCAAACCTAACGACCTGAATACGCATATCCGACAGAAGAAGAGAACGGCGGCTCAAAGCATCGGCAACTCGATTGGAAACACCCGACCGATGTTTAAGAATAAAGGTGAACTGCTGTAAAAAGGATGTCCAAGAGGCATGTCGAGCTGAAATATTGTCCTGAGAAGAAATATGGCGAAGTGCCTCATGATCAGTAAAAAGCACAAACTCCCGGTGAAATAAATAATGCTGCCAGTGTCGAACAGCACGGACCATAGCATAAAATTCGGCATCATAAGTGTTGTAACGGGATCTAGGACCTGACAACTTCTCACTAAAGAAAGCGACAGGTCGTGCCTCCTGGCTTAGCCCCCAATCCCCACCTTGGATGCATCACAAGAGAGCTCGAAAGGCTGAGAAAAATATGGAAGCACCAAAACTGGAGCCGAATTGAGCTTCCGTTTAATAAGATCGAAAGCATCAGCAGCCTGAGGAGTCCAAACAAAAGATTTGCCTGTAAGACAATCAGTAATAGGGGGGCGATAATAGAGCTGAAATGAGCAATGAAACGTCTATAAAAGGAAGCCAGGCCATGAAAACTACGAGCCTCCGCGAATGTCGTAGGAGTCGGCCAATCCCGAAGCAGCAACCTTATTCTCATCAACCCAAACACCCTCTGAAGAAATAACAAATCCCCAAAACAACACAGAATCCACAAGGAAAGAGCACTTGCCCGGAGAGGCATAGAAAGACTCAGCTCGTAAAAGGAGCATGATGTAAATGCTCCTCAACTGAACGACTGTAGACTAGTATGTCGTCGAAATAAACGACGAAACACTTCCCGATAAGGTCACGAAGTGTCTGATTCATCACCCGCATAAAAGTACTCAGAGCATTAGACAACCCAAACGGCATAACCATCCACTCGTACAAACCCTCTCGAATCTTAAAAGTCGTCTTCCATTCATCATCCGGCCGAATTCGAATCTGATGATACCCACTCCGAAGATCTAACTTGGAAAATACAGTCGCACCATGTAATTGATCCAACAAATCATCCAATCGTGGAATAGGAAAACGATAACGTACCGTAATCTTATTTATCGCACGACTGTCAACACACATCCTCCACGACTTGTCCTTCGGAATGAGGAGAGTCGGCATTGCACAAGGGCTGAGACTGCGGCGAATAGAACCTTTCCGTAACAAGTCCTCAAACTGACGGCAAAGCTCCTCGTGCTCTGCTGGACTCATCCGATAATGTGGACGATTGGGCAAAGAAGCGCCCGACACCAAATCAATTTGATGTTGAATATCACGTAAAGGAGGTAAACCGCTAGGTAAGTCGGTGGGAAAAACATCAGCAAACTCCTAAAGCAAAGGCTGAATCAAGGTAGGAGGTGGATCATCTGAGACCGAGTCAAAACCAATAACAAGAAGAACCATAGGAGCATCAATCATCTCACGAACAAAGGCAGACCAGGAAAGAATCAATACAGACGAAGAAGAAGGTGACGGATCCACGGCAGGTGGTGTAGATAGCGAACGATACAATGAAGGGTGTAGGACTATCCGAACACCATGGAAAAGAAAACCATACATGTTGAGACGCCCGTCATGAACAACAACACGATCAAATTGCCACGGTCGGCCTAAAAGCAAGTGACAAGCATCCATCGGGACAATATCACACCAAATCTCGTCCTTATACGTAGATTCGACTGAAAAGGCCACTAAGACCCGACGATCCACTGTAACAGAAGTCCCCTTCTGTATCCAAGCTAATGTATACGGTTGAGGATGGGGTTCCGTTTTCAAATGCAACTTCTCCACCGCATCTGAAGCAACCACATTCTTACAAGCACCCGAATCAATCATAAAACGACATACCCGACCACCGATGGTACAAGTGGACTCAAAAATATGATGACGCTGAACGGCACTCGTGCTGACAACGGGCGGAGATGAAAGTGAACAACGAAGGACTAAAGCCTGTCCCACATCCCCCGTCACGTGCTCCTCCATAATCTCGAGTTCCACATCAAATATAGGCGGACCAGTGTACTCAGTGTCATCCGACTCCTCGACTAAAAGAGCTCTAGTACCCCCCGATTTCGGACATTGGGCCTGTCGATGCCCAGGCTCACCACAAGAAAAGCACCGTGGGGCACCTATCTAGCGATTATTCCCACCAGGAATAGTTCCACCACCCCGACCTCCAACCGTAGGACCAGACGGAACAGAACCACTAGCTGGCTGGTCGAACAGATGTAGATGGTGACAAATCCGTAGGATGAGTCGAAGGCTGTCGAGATGGTAAAAAGGACGAATTCAGCCGACGGGCCTGCTGTTGTTCCACAAGTAATGCCCTCTGATGGGCCTCCGAAACAGAAGTCGGAGTAAACATATTCAATACATCCTGAACAGATACACGTAACCCACCAATATAACGAGAAACTAATTGATCAGGAGTCTCCCGAATATCCACACGTGCAAGAAGTTTATAGAATTCCTCAGTATAATCGTCCACACTACGTAAACCTTGTCGAAGATTTTGCAACCGTTGATACAATGTACGGACAAAATTAAATGGCAAAATTTCGCGTTCGAGATACTTACGAAATTTCAACCACGATTTAATTTTGGGTTTGCCCTGTCGATGCCGCACGCCTTGTAATTGTAACCACCACGCGGCGGCACGGCCCCGAAGCCGAGTAGCAACAAGCGGGACCCTTCTATCGTCGGGCACATATTTAATATCAAGCACAGCCTCAACAGATATCAACCAATCAATAAATTTATTCGCATCCATTCCCCCGGAAAAATCTGGAATTTCTACTCGAAAAGAACTCTCCCAGCGACCCTCGGTATTTAATTCAGTACGCCCATTAGAAGAATTAAATAAATTACCTCTGTTGGGCCCAGTAGGAGAATTAAAAAAATAACCTCTGTTGACACCATATTCACGCATCGGAGGAAAATTATTAAGACGGTCAGGCCCAAAATCATCATCCCAAAGAGGGCCCACGTCATCTCGCTCAAAAGCGCAATTGCGGTCTGCTCCCCTCTGAAAATTGCAATCTGCTCCCCGCTGAAAATCTGGCGCCATCCACGATCGGCTTCACCACCAACAGCTCCTCGCTGGAAATTGCGGTCTGCTCCCCGCGGAAAATCTCGTCCTAGGGCATCGCGATGGAGGTATGCGCGCTGGTTGGCTCGGAAACGCTCCGGAGACCGGCGAATCGGCGACAATGATCGGTGAATCCCGTGCGCCTGGTTGCGCCAATTGGGGTCTGCAAAGTTGTGGTCAACGCCGTCAGCAAAAGGATTGTGGTCTGACAAGGTCGCATCACTATCAATGTCGCCGAACAGCGGGTTGTGGAACGGTTGTCGGTTGCCACCAATGCTGCGACCTCCACGGCCACCGCGGAGAGCCCCGCGACCACCACGGCCACCGGCAACATCTCGATTATCCTGCTGATTCCGCACCAAATTAGTAAGTGTTAGACGAATTTCGTCAATTCCGGTAGATAGATCCACAACCCGAGTATCCAACAATTGCATTCGATCATCCATATGTTGAAATCGAGCGTCAATTTCGGCATCTCAGCGTCGTGGCGGCATTGTGAATCGTCCCGGTTAACTGATACCAAATGATGCAGCAAGATAGGTAATGGAAGTAGAGTTACAGAGAACTCATGAAGAACACGCAAATTCTTTCTGAACAAAGTTTATGAAATCTGATAACTGCCTTGTCAGGCTCACAACTATTGTCTTAAATATTACATCAAATTCTAATAACTATTAATTAAGCCCAAACACAATAAGTCCACTACTACATAATAAAAGCCCAAACATAATATAAATAAACACACCTAAATAATAATAAAAATATAATAATATCACACTAAAGGACGGAGCTGATCATATGTACCGCGCACTCTCGTCGGCATCATGAACTCAATAAAGCATTCATTTTATTCTTTGTGAGTAGAAACACTACATTTTCTCCAAACATGTAAAGATAGGTACCAGAAAGCGATCCAGAATGACATAGGCCATCACTTAAAACACTTAATCGCATCACGCAAACACAGAGGCCATCACTTAAAACAGTCAATGACAAGCTTATAAGTGGATACACATGAGCAACCAACCTCTCTTCTATCCCAGCTTCTATTTAAGCCAAACTGCACTAAAACCATCTACCATAATCTCCAGTAGAAAACTAACAAATCAAAGCGCTGAAAAAGGGTTCTGGGGGAATTTGAAACAACAAAACCAATAACCATTATTATGTAAATTTTTAGTGGGAGAGGAAGATACCTTCAGGGTTCTACGTTGCATCAAGTGGCCAACAATGCTCATCAGACGATTGATCAAATCCACTGGTATTTCTCCATTGTTGTCCTGCTGCAGACACTCAAAAGTACAAGAGATAAGCTTCTTCACAGAGAAGAAAAGTCAAACACCAATTCATTGGCCATAAAGCAATTAATGAAATGCCACAAAAAAGCGAACTACTAAGATTATTAATCACTCCAAAACTACCGCAAAACTAGCAACTTCCGCCAGCTTATCCCTTATTTCACACGGCACTCTCTTTTTGACTGCCTGAGAAGAATTGTCATCATCGTTGGCTTCAGTAGGTGGTCTAGCTGCAGTTTTCCAATGCACGGGAGCACAAATATATAAATGAGGCATAATTACAGAACCGTATTGAAGAAATATAATGGTAGGAGAAAGAAGATACATTCTGCAACTATCTTCTCTAGCTCCCTAATAGCCTTCTCGAGATTTGCAGTCTTTGTCTGAACAGTAGATCCATCATTTCTAGGCATTAGAGCAGCCTTCTGCACAAATTCTAAGATTTGATTAGGGACGATTCAGTTAAATTGATGGGCGAAAAGGAAACACCACATGCATATTTACAGAACTAGAAATACAGAGGACAGACAAATGTTCGGGAGAAAGAGACAAATGTATAACAGCAAGCATGTATAAAGAATTAGTCATGAATGAAAAAACATGCTGATCACCCCACCTCATGCGAACGCTGTAACCATGCACTAAGCCTTACTAAAATCATATTAGTTTGGCCCTCTCCATTTTGAAGTGTTCAAGTCCCAAGAATATTCAATATTCCACAAAGTACAAACTAGTCAAAAAGTGAGGTATTCCATAAATCCGATCAACTTTATATGTTTTATAAAGTTGTAAAGTAACCGGATCTCAACCAATAAAGTTATAGTGAGGTATTCCATCAATCCCATCAACTTTAGTCGTTCAAAAATGTTAACTATTAAACATTTAAAGTAGAGTTACCATTACACTTTTGAAGCCTAGATGTCGACCTAGATCCTTATATGAGGAGTCTACATCATGCAATATCATTTCAAAAGTAAATGAACCAGGATACAACAAGCTAATTCTCACCATAGATGGTACGGAATCCCTGTTTGAAAGGATGTTAAGGTTTTCTACAGGTCCACCTTTTTCTTTTCGTTGAAATGGCCGGTCTAGATAATCGACATTATTCGGTTGTTTCCCAGATTGGGTTTTGCTTGCATAGGAGCTCTTATCATTTGACCTATATGTTGCTGCATCATGAGGTTCACTCTCTTTCAGTTTGCTAGTATGTTTCTTTGATGAGAGGATTTCAAGCCTTTGCCCGTCAATATCCATACTCTGGTTGATAGCACCACCGTCCAACAATAATGAAGAACGTTCTGTAGCATGGGAACCTGAAGCTTTTTTCTTTATTGAAATTTCAGCAGCATCTAAAGGTGCAGCCTGAAAATTTACATCCTCACCACGCACGTTGGTCGAGCTTGTATGGATCATTGATGATGCTTTTTTACCTTTATTTCCCCTTTTTGCAGTTTTATTTTGGTTACGTCCATCATCACTCTCATTCTGTCCTTTTATCAAATCTTTGAGTCTCCTCTTTTTTGGCTGCTGGTTAGAGGAATGAGGTTCACTGCAGGAAAAAAATAATGTAGCATAAAGGTGAGCATCTTCAACTGTGTTAATTGATGATGATGATGATGATAGTACTAATTAAGAATTTAAGACAGGTCATCCTGAAACAGAAGGTTTTCAAAAAGATGGAATCAGTCGAGTCGTAGCAATAGTCACAACACAATTCCAACCAAATAACTCAAAACATAATCAACANTTTGTGTCATGATTGATTAAAAAAAAAATCCACTAGTTAGACCCTAACACCTTCAAATACTAATCAATTGAATCCTGTCAGATATGCATCAGAAGGTGAGACGAAATATGCATCTCTGGAAAGGGAATACAATGGCAATGGACACAAACTATATGTTCCAAGCACTGATTAGATTATTTGTATTGACATTACTAGATAAGTAATTTTAAACATAAAGTGCTTCTTCCCCGTTTGGAAGTCTATAAAGCACAAAAGAGAAATCTTGGGTTGGTCTCTTCCTGATTAATACCAAGAGGCACCCAAAGATTCAAGGAAACAAACACATTTCATAAATTTAGGTACATCTCTGTAAGACAACAGTAAAGCAAAAAAATAAAAATAAAAAGAAAAAAGAAAAAACGCTTATGCCATGTAACGAAAAATAAAACTTAAGACAATAATCTTACACATGCTCCAACTTCCCACGGTTAACGAAAAATCCATGATGCTTAACTTCCGATTATCAACTTGGAAATAGTTGTCCTGTACAGAAGATAAGCTCACCAATTAAGAAATATGAAATGTCAAGCATCAACAAGGACGATTAATACGAAAAGGCAGTACCCACCAATTCAGCATCATCAATGAAGGAATCATCAGTATCATATTCATCATCATCCAGCACATTGTCTAGCATAACATCTTCGTCATCACTGCTCCCACTTCCCTGCAAGTTGCATGACACAAACATGGCATAGTGTCATAAAGAAAATTTAACCACAGTTAAAGAAGAATACCATCATCAAACCTAGTAACCAGTAGATAAAAATCACACTGCATTAAATGTGCCAAGGTCTTACAATCTCTAGCAATTAATTATGTAAAGGAAAAACTTACAAATGAAATGGAGCTTGCTTTGCTTGTAGTCCCATAAAGTAAAAAATGATAACTCAATTAGCATGATGACTGTAGAATTAGGACTACAAACACAAGTGAGAATCTTTGAAACAAAGATTATCATAGTTGATTAAGAAATTCAAGTCCAGCTATACACACAATTCATAGATGTTTTCTCTAGACCATATAAAATTAAAATATTCAAGTGCAACTCTGTTCATGCATGAGGTGTTTGCCATTAATTAAAGAAAAGTGTCAGGTAAAACTTATCTCCTTTTTCTTTGTGGGGAAGCTAATCCACATCCCATGTCAATAAACAATTCACCAAACACAACTCAACTTACCGCGTACATTCTCTCAATCCTCTCAATCACCGAATTCAAACGGGTCGACCCGGCCTGCCCTTGAGGATCCCTTTGTTCTTTCACAGCGGGTGGCTCTAAAGAAGCAGGTAGAGATGGAGGCGGAGGCTGAGACACGGGCTGAGGTTGGATTCCGGGCCCTGACACCGACGGGCCGGACATGCTCAAATTGGCCTCTCTGACAAGCTTCTTCCACGAAACGATTGTCGTTTCTTCAGGATGGAGCTCCACCGTGAACCTCAGCCGGCCTCCGGCCGACTCGAATGACGAGGCGGGCTTTGACATCGGGCCCTCTTCGGGCCCGGGCTCGCCACCTTTGCTTCCTTCCGCCATGTAAACGAGAGAATTTTTTCCGATGAATTGATCGAACTTGCGGCGAGTCAGATAAATCAAAACATTGAAAAATAAATTGTTTATATACTGCGAGTGTTCATACTAGGGGCGGTACCGTAATTAACCAACTCTTTAAGTGTGAACGCAACAAACCAAGTAATTACGGTACCGCCCCCAGTGTTCATTACGGTACCAAGCAGGACGAGGTTGTTTATATACTGCGAGTGTTCACACTAGGGGCGGTACCGTAATTACTTGGTTTGTTGCGTTCACACTTAAAGAGTGAGTGTTCACACTAGGGGCGGTACCGTAATTACTTGGTTTGTTGCGTTCACACTTAAATAGTTGGTTAATTACGGTACCGCCCCTAGTGTGAACACTCGCAG